AAATTCCAACATAAAAAGTTGCTAATGTTTCTCAGGTATTAATTAATCCTAATGACTAAGTCACTCCATAACTAGACTTACATTGCGCGATCTGTTTGATGTGGGAAGGCATAATGTGCTCAGTACTGAGAGAGCTTACATACAGCAGCATTACTTAAGCCAACATGGGAATAATTACACTTGTTGCTAAGGCTTGTCTTCTTGTTCGCACAGACAGCTTAAGCGTGTCTCAAGATCAAATGATCGTATCTTGACTCCAACCCGAGTCCCGTCTAATGAGATTCACCACTCTCTGATATTAACACAAAGGAAGATTACAGATGATTCATGATTAAATATATCGAAATAATGCCGTTCAGAGGTCAAAATGAGGTGTGAGATGAAAGTAGGAAGAGAATAACTCTCCATATTTAATGACTGTAGCCTCGGTTGTTCTAAGGGAATATGCATGAAGTTGAGCATGCCAAGTAATATTAGAGCAGTTAAATATATAGCAATCTATGAATTACATAACGTGGAAGAAACAAGAATCATGCTCAGAATTTTAGAGAGAAACCAACGTGAGTGTATTGTGACGTATCGACCCGTTGCTAAGTAATATCCACACGCGACAATGGAGGAGGTGTCACGATACGTAACCATTACATCCGTTGCTATGTAGTGTTCGCAAGTTATGTGTGCACGGTGACGTCACACAACAATAGAAGAGGTGATTCAGGCAGGTGTTTTCTGTAGATCCGGGTCGAGACTCTTTGCTAGGCAACTGCATGTTAACGCGCCTCTACAACAAGAGCTGTGCTGCGTGGTCCGTGAAGAGGAATTATAAGAGATTCGAATTCGGATTTCATCCATTGAACTGTACGTCATAAAAGAAAATTTGCTACCGAAAATCAGTTTTATACTCGTAGAAAGATGTAAAATTGTCCCTTCCCTTAGCTAATTAAGCACTACGCAATGAAGGCATATTGGGGAGTAGATGTGAAGATCCACGTTTTCTTCACCACGGTACTAGTTGGAGGTGAGTGGTCATCTTCACGCCTCTGCCGCTGTGCCCCCGGGAAAGGGCCCCCGGTATCCATTGAATAGGATGTTTGGCGGACGTCAGAGTCAATCTGGACGACTTTGAAAAGAAAAGATTCTTGCCCCCACCGAGACTCGAACTCCGACCCCTCGGTCTTCCAGCCTGTAGCCAGTAGCTATACCGACTGTGCTATCCGGTCACTTCCAGTTTTATAGAGTAAACTTAAAAAAGTGAAAAAGTATACAGAATATAAAATGTGCTCCTTCTGAACCCTACATTACACCACTACGTATATCTGTGAGCTATTTGACTGACTTTCTGCTTCTATAATCACCTGCTATGGCTGTAGTTACATACATCTTCTGCCAAGTGAAATGATTTGCTTTCACATGGTTTTCGTTATCTGTACTGGACTAAACATTCAGATTTGTGGCGAAGGTAAAAAAAAAACGACCACCTTGACGCTGATCATTCTGAGCCCTTATTTATTTGGAAGATTATAGATGACATGAAATTTATTTTAAATTAATTCTCGGTAATTTTTGTTTCAAAAGTCTTATGTTTCGATATTACTGGAAATGTGTCGTGATCTTTAATATCGTATTTCATTGTCTGGGACTTGAAATACGGTGTTTATGTTGAAATTCCTAGATTTTGGCAGAAACAAGAAGTCCGGAGTTATAACATTTACGATCCGTCATAAACTTAGCTCGGGTACAGGGAACCGGACGCGCCTAAAAGGACAGGTCAGAGCTTATTACAATTGCCTGTGAATGAGGGCCAGTATGATTGGGTTGCCTCGTTCAAGCTTCCCACGGAAGATGGGATAAAATGTATATGAAAACACCATCTTTCGAATTCCCGGCGTGGGGGTGCAAGCCATTCCACAAAGGGGGACTTTCACAATAGATTCCGAACTGAACGGACGTGACCTTGCACGCTCCGAGACATAGCCTGCCGATAGTAACTCTGTAACATACAGCACAAGAATACATTAATTTAACAGTGTGGTGAATTAGCAGGTAAATAAACGTTAATTGGCTCAACTCTTAGAAAAACGCTTTCTGCGGCATCGCTACCCTGAGACCCATGCAAACCGACCCAGCTAGTTTCCCGTACCTATACCGATCTTCCTTAGTTTGATCTGTGAGAACAACTTCCAGTGGCCATCATACACTGTCCTAAGGAAGAAACAGGTGTAGCAGGGATAGCACCATTCCGACTGCGCCGATACAAGCAAAGGCGGGTTGGAAAAGAGCGGTGTTAACCTCTCCTGTCATGTCTGTTCGATCAGTAAGTTATCTTCAAGAAGCGCAGTCTAAATATCTTACTCTGGTCTTACTGCTAAATTAGGCTGAAGGGTCTCACCATCACCGTCGCAACATTACAGTTCTCTGTTCATGAAGGCGTATGAGAAACATAGAGACATAACCCTGATGTTCATAGTCTGGACACTAAGTGGAGACCAGCGGTCAACATCACACCTCCAGAGACACACGGAGGTCGCATGGGTTCAGAGTCGTGAAAACTGTGACAAAGAAACGTATTCTTACTCACGTCAGGAATTTCCCTAAATTATCATGTCCGATTCTGACACGTTCACCTGTTACAGATTAATTTGAAATGTATTTTAGGATTTGGATTCTCACAGCGGTGGTTATGAAGAGTTCTGTCTTCTGGAATGTAACGCCTTGTATTTCTTTCAGAGACAACAAATATTTTGGAGGGATATTTTGTTTCCATTTTCCAAGTTGAAGAGTAAGTCAAGGAAGAGGCCAGCATGAAAAAAAGTGGCATCAAAAATCAGAAGACAAAACTTTTCAGAATAGAATAATTATACTCCAACGAACTTGTTATTAATTCAGAATTGTAATGCATATTTTCTAATTCGAATGACAAAGAGATACCATCTATGTGGAATGCGTGTAACCATTCATGCATGTTGATGTTAGTGCTTGAAATTAAATCATGGCATTGTAACTTGGTTATATGTTCGTTTACATCAGATACGCTTTACGAATTTAAGAGCAGAATTAACATATCACTGTTGAGTCTGTAGAGAGACCTGCGCTCTCCACGCATAACATAATGTTCTCCAACTTTGCGTTCTCACGGACCTGTGTAATAGGCAACAAATTCACAAAATAATGTAAAGGCTTATAAATTAATATCATTCAACTGGAAAACTAACAGGAGTTGAAACTTCCTCGTGAACGTAATGTTTAACACTCGCCATTTCGAAGCCCTGGCCAATACTAATTTGCCTATTCTCTACGAAATATATTTGATACGCATGAAGATATAACTTTATCCTCACGTCAAGGTTCATGCAGCATTCAAGTGCCTTTATGGTGGGTAGATTGTTTAACGACGCTGTGTCTCTGCAGACGTTATTGACATGGAGCGAAACTATGAAATTGTTTGTTAGAAAATGAAATCATATCGCTGTGTAAGAGCAGAGGTTTTCACAGCGGTGATTATGAAGAATTCCTTTTTCTGAGATGTGGTGCCTTGTAGATCTTATGTGAACAGACGTTGTGGAGGAACGTATCGCCTCCATCTTCAGGGTAGAAAAATCCGCGAGTGAGGAACCAGCGTGAGCAGGTGGCGGCAGAATCCACAATGTCTGTTCACACAAATCTACACGGCGCCACATCCTAATTATATCGTTATTTTCATAGAATGAATGCACTAACAGAACAACTTACGGTATTCACGAAACTAATTTAATCCTAACGACAATTTAATATAAAACTATTGTATAGTGAAGTCATATGATATAACGCGCGTTACATAACGGGTATCCCTTTCGCTGAATAAAATCACCGGTGCTAGTATGTCATAGGCGACTTATCCGTAATTTTTTTTCCTTGGTACTACAGCCCCAGTGGGCCTAGACCTACCTCCATGAACTTCTCCGTTCACTTCGGTTTTTCTAGATCTTAAACATTCAGTCGGTGATATCCTCAGGTGACAGAGTAGAAGGCTCCTAGTGTGTGGGTTTATGTAGAGAGAGCTAACCTTAATCACTGGTCTAGTGATGCAGTTTCAGAAAAGTGTTCTTTAGAACAAGGGACGATGCAGAAACTCAGTAATTCTGACTGACAAAACTCAGGTCTGGTGGTAAATTTTTATTCCGCAACATGTTCGTCTTTCTTAAAAAGTAAGATTGTAGGCGCCACTCCCAGCCCCAAAACCTGGAGGAGCTAGTCTTGTCGAACCTTTAACAGTCACGTGAGGAGATCTCTTTCCTTTTACGGTTACGCTCTGTATTGTGTACAGCCCTGACAACTGAAGCGTGCCTATGAGAAGAGTAACTTTTCATACATCATGTCATGAAGACGTGAATAGGACCGAACTGGTTCAGGATACAGTCCAATTGCAGTCATTGTGATACAATGATAAGACTGAATTCAAGGGTCCATTACAGCATTCATATTAGACGGCCAGTGAACGTTATCCAGAGGCAAATGAAATCCAGTCCACGACCTGGCACCCAGTTTCTGTAAGATCTCTCTTAGTGTTATTGTCCAATCTACGCATAGGTCTAGGAGCCGGGATAGTGCAGTCGGTATAGAAACTGGTTACGAACTCGATGACCAAGGGGTCGGAGTCCGAGTACGGGTGGGGGTAAGAATTTTCACTTCTCCAAGTCGTCCAGACTGGCTCTGGGGCTCACTCAACTTCCTATCCAATAGGTACCGGAGGCTCCTTTCCCAGGAATAAAGCCGCCGGGGCGTGAAGCTGATCACTCACCTCCAACTAGTGTCGAGGTCAAGAAAATATGGCTCGATACATCCACTCCCCCATACGCCTTCATGGCTTAGTGCTTAATTAGTTAATCACAGGGAGAACTTTACCATGTCTTACGCATAGGTCTTCCAACTGTTCTCTTCGAGCGTGCCAGCTAAAACGTTAGATGCTTCTGTCATCTTTGCCTCTTCATATAGCTACATGAGAGATTTTCTTTTTGTTTCAGAGCCCATCACGGAGATTCTAGGAGGCTCTGATCTCTTCATTAATAGAGGCAGCACGATAAACTTAACATGTCTGGTGAAGTTCGCCCCCGAGCCTCCGCCAGTCATGCTCTGGAGCCACAACAGAGAGGTGAGTTGTGTGAAATGGGTTCCGTAATGCAAAACCATGAACGAGTCTGTGTGTTCACTTAAGCACCCCCTACCCCTACTCTCCTTAAATACTTGCTTCGAAGTATTCTGTATACAGAGGCTTCAAACAATCATATACAATAAATGGCCCATTTCCAAATTTTCACATGGCCGCATTAACAGAAAATTTGTCGGATATTGTAATAAAGATTCACGCCAATGCTATATTTGTTGCTCTTATTCATTCATTCATCAGTAATCTGTCAGATGACAGGTCCACAGTCTCTTCCAAAACAGTTCCTCCACTTAATGCGATCCAGAGCTTTCTCCTTCAAATGAGAATATCCTCTTCTGTCCCCAAGGTCATCCCGCATCTTCTAACGTCTTTTTCCTCGTCTTCTGGTCGCATACATGGTATCACTGTTTTTGGAAAGAGACTATCCATGAAAAGTGATAATGTGGTAGTTTTTCCATTTGCTTTCCACATCGCAGTACAGCAGCCGTTCAAACCACTCTGGTCACGCCTGTTGCTATACGAACTTGAACCATCTCGAGCATCATTTGCTCTGTGCTTCACGTCGCTGCTGATGACGCTGCTTCCGGCATTAGTTTTTGGTGCATCAATAATTGTTTCGCCTATAATTTGCAGATACTTGTGGGAAATAACCATACACAACATCTGGAATGCCTGACCCCAGTTAGTCAACAGTTATCGGCCTCATACAGAGAACCGAATATGGATGTCACATGATCATAGTGTTATTATTTTCAGAAGATTATTGTCACGTGTAGGGGGGCACGCGTGACAAAATGGCGGGTTCTAGTTCGGATGATTGGATTTATTAACAGCTTGGCCACACGCACTCTCTTAATTACACTCTAATACAGCGCTATCGCTGATTTACATACAGCTCATAATCCACTGTTGCACGCACACATAAAGTCTTCTAAATCACACTTGACATCCTCACAGGCGAACTTCTGTTATTCCTGGTTCCACTTCGCTTGCTTCCGCCACTCTCAACTACTCGTAACTGCCTCAACAGAGAGAGAGAGTTACTTTACGACGGGCGGTTTAGCGCCAATCAATTTGTCTTGGCGTCAGGCACGTTGAAGCTCACGACCAAATTATTTTCTAATTAAACTCCTGCGGTAAGAGTCCTTATGTAATATTTGCGTTTAAATGCTCACTGTTGAATAGGGAGTAGATTCTAATAAATGTTCTGAAGGCCTTGGCTTCAGTCACTTCTATGTGAAGTCTCCATGTAATTCTTTTATCGAAGATTACGCCCAGATATTTTACATGATTCAAAAAGGGGATATTCTGCCCATTCAGTGTAAGATGAGTCTGAGGGGGCCTAAGCTTATGAGAGAAGTAGATTGCCTGAGTTTTATCTTCATTGGGTTTTATGTTCCAGCGATCACACCACGTCTCAATAGCACTGAGACCTCGCTGCAGCTTTCTGAGAACATAACCCTCTTTGCGGTCTGTCGCATATATACAGGTGCCGTCAGCAAAGAGACCTAGATAGACACCAGGTGTTTGGGGGGTATCGTTTATATATAGGCTGTATAGTGTGAGGGAGAGAACAGAACCTTGTGGCACTCCTGCTTGTATATCCCTTGATGTAGACATTTCAAAGAGCTAATAAGCTTGTTTAGACTTATCGAAAATTGTAATGTAGATAATTTATATAGCAAGCCAATGTGCTATGTTGTATTAAAGGCCTTTTCAATATCCAAGAATACAGCAGCTATAAACATGTTATTGTTGAAATTTAAGGTTACGTGGTCCGTAAGCCTCATACATTGAAGACTATCTTCCAAGTCCAAGCCCAAGTCACATCGCGACTGACGGTCAGTCAGTCAGTAAGTCTTGGGGTCCAGCCCCATCTGGGACTCATGACCAGATCTTTATTACTGTTTGGCATTTACGGTCTTGTTTTTGTGGGGGCGCCCTCTCTGACGGCAGGACCGGTCTGCCTTTTGTATAGGCTGCTGGCCCTTGCCTGTGCAGTCTTTCTTGGGTCTGAGTCCCGTGGGATTCACGACCATATTTTACTGTCTCAGATTTGAGACTTCCCTTTTCGTCGCCTCGTACGACTCGCAGGGGCACGTTGGAGGTATTCGACCCCGCCTCCACACGGGGGGAGTCCTGCCTCATCAAAAGCCTAAGTCACATTGCGACTGACGGTTAGTCAGTCAGTAAGTCTTCGTGTCGAGCCCCATCTGGGGCTCATGACCAGATATTAATTATTATCGTTTGACAGTTACGGTCTTGTTTCTGTGGGGCCCCCTCTCTGACGAGAGGACGGGTCTGTCTTTTGTATATGCTGCTGGCCATTGCCAGAACAGTCTTTCTCGGGTCCGATACTTCCCTTTCGCCTCTTATGACTCCCAGGGTCACGGTGGAGGTATCGACCCCGCCTCCACACTTTAGCCGACACAACGAAATATTCGGGGTGTGCTGATGTGCATGTACGTCAACATCCCGTAGGCTATAGAGCGCGTAACGTGTCCTGTTTTGAACACAACTATGCCATAAAGTATGGATATTCTTGTTTGTTGTCAGGTGATCAACTTCGACTCTCCGCGAGGTGGCATCAGCCTCGTAACGGAAAAGGGCCCTGTCACTACAAGCCGCCTACTCATCCAGAAGGCTATACCTTCAGACACAGGACTGTACACATGCGACCCTTCCAACGCCAATCCTGCTAGCGTCCGGGTGCACATACTCAATGGTAAGGAAGCCGCTTCCATTCTGAGTACACTGGAACTCGCAGCCAAGACAGACCAAGGCTGCAGTACAGTGCTGGGTCATTTTGCTCTATTCTAAAGCTCAACTTCTTGTCCTAAGGGAAGATCATGGATTGAGAGTGTTTGAGAATAGACTGCAGAGGAGAATATCTGTGTCCGAGAAGGAAGAAGTGACAGAAGGGTTCTTTATTTCCTCTTGCTCCCACTGTGGAGCATAGGGATGATTTCTCAGTTTCATGATCATTTTCACAGACGGTAGGACCCCTGGAACGGATGATCAGCTCATCGCAAGGCCTCTACCTAAACCATGGACAACACAAACACAAAATAAACGCAAACACACACATCAAACATCCATGCAATTAGTGGGATTCGAACACACGATCCCGCCTTCCAAGTGAGCGAAGACAGTACATGCCTTAGACCGCTCGACTACCGTGACCGGCACAGAAGGGAAAAGATAATTAAACATTAAGAAAATCTTCAAAGTTTATGCTGTTAATGATATCGTCACGTGTTGGGTATGTCACGCGACAAATAACTTCATGCCGTTTAGGGATGCAGCGAATATTTAATCTCCTTCGCTTTTACACTTATACAATTCACCATATCACAATTAGTCTTAATCTTATAAATCCACTATCTCAATTGCTCTTAAACTATAGCTCGGCGAATGCTAAACTTCAACTGTCTTCAACGGCTACTCTGTCAAGAGTGACTCAGCCAATGCATTAACCTCCTTCTATATCCCCGGCCATTGCTACGCAGTGAACATCCCATCTCTGGGGAAACGCGTTTGTTAATTCTGCAATTCCTACGCAACGGTTCACTGTTATTGCGTTACCATGGAAGTATCTACTCCAAACACGTTACAACATATTGTAATAAAATCAGAGGAGACAGATGGGGCATGTAGCACGCTACAAGAGTAATATTAAAATTTATCTTAAATTAAGTGTTACAAGGTTCGCCAGATTCCTTTTGTCCATCCGATAATAATATTTCATAATTTTTACTGAGTTTTAAAATATTCTTTATGCACTTCATTTTTGTATGTACTGACACATGAGTGTGGAACAATTATAGCTACTTGAATAGCCTAATGGGATTTTTACCTTACCTCTTTTAAAGGTTATGATATTAGTTTTTAGAATAGGTGAACAATCATCTAAAAACCCTTGAGTAACAGGTCCAGAATCCCTGATGATGACAATTTGATGTCGAATCATGTCAGTCTATCAATTAAACGAAAATTATTAAATAATTATTATTATTTTTTGTAAATTGAGCGTATCTTGATAAGTTTTTAAGTTTATCTAAAATTAAAACCGTGTACAATAGTCTGACTATTTAGTACCGGTATTGTTGGTACCTTGGCAAGTTTTTAATTTTCTTTTTTAAATTTCGATATGACATTAATGTAAATTAGTGTCACGTTAGACACATTCAAAGTAAAATTAAATTCGGCGGTTAAACGTTCGTGTCCAAACCCTAGCCTCAAATTTCATCTGAATGTGTTCAGTAGAGCTGAATCCAGCGGAGTGACAAATATCGACAATTAACATATCAGACCCACATATTAATTTCATTTACATCATAAATACAGCACATAAGTACTTGTGGGGTGGGGTTATTGTGCCTGAGACGAAAGTTGGGATAATGTTTAAAGAGTAATTTAGTTCGGAAGATAAAAGAAAGTTTGTTTGTCTTCGCCATTTTCATTGTTTGCGAAATGCGATCATTAATCTCCTTGCTTTTTAATTTGCGGTTGGATTTATACAGAGAGCTGCAACCTCCCATGTAAAGTAGAACGGCCTACTGCTCGTGTGGGGTCAATTCTTCTTCGTTACCTGGGCGAGTAGCAGCAGCAGCACTGGCGCCCGTATTCCCCCCACCTCGTCATCATCTTCAGTGTTGGCCGCTTATTTGTGGGAATGACGCTTCTCTAACAGCGCTCACTAACGGCATTTTCAGTAACATTTCATCCGGTCCTACACTAACAAATGTAACCGGTCTAGTGTGTGGCTCTAAAGTTTAGACGACCAGATTTCAAATCTCGGACACCTCTACATCATTGTGCATTCAGCGGTATGCCTGTCTACTTCTGGGAACAAGTTGGAACCAATTCACCAGATGCGGGAGGCTTGAGACAGTGGTTGCAGTTCGAAGAGTTAACACTTGAAGGACATATATCCAAAACCTTCCTGTCTGTCCAGGCAAGATACGTTGTGATGTCGAATGGGGGCTCCTCACCCCATCGCGTGTCTGCAAGGCCACTACCGAGGTTAATAAACCGACTCTTCTTGAGTGACAGTTTCTAGCTTTCGAACATCCCTACTCATATGATTATATAACAAAAACATGCAGGCAACAAGCAGATATACAAAATCATGAGAATAAAATTGTTCGCAACACTGGAAACCCATCATAAAAAATAAAAGAGTCTTTAACCTTGGTTGCGTTCAAGCATAGGGACGTTCAAATGATTAGACTGCCGTTGTAGCGAAAGCTACTAAAGATAGGACATAATCTGATGTACTGAGCCTGGACTGACAGAAGCCTTGTATATATTTTATACAGGAATTGTTAATAACAGGTAAAATTTATTTTACATATTGAGAACTGACTAATATTGCTGAGTGTGACTCTGGAAAAATTAACATACCCATCCTCTCGTCAGAGATGGCGCCCCACATGGACCGGACAGAAACTTTCAAACAAGAAGAAAAGTCCAATCATGGGTCCCAGACCGGGATCGACATCAAGACAGACAGACTGACTGTCAGTCGCTGTGTGATATTGAGTTGAGTTCGTCTTGCGACAGTTTCAATTATAAGAAAGAAAGCAGTGTTAGCGCACAAAGACAATTTGTTACTGCTAAAAATTTTATTCAAGCCAGCTTCAGATTATTTCATGTCCATATTAAGTGCTTGGCGTATAAAACTGCATATAAATTTAGTAACGTTCATTGTTTTTGTATTAAATATTTGTACAATAGTGAGTATTGCTTCAATTATAAATAAAAAGGGAAAAGGGGAAATGCTTTGCCCAAACCCCACTACCATACCATCCTGTGTCAGCCTATAGACACACGCACATACCAATATTTCGCGCATCCGTGAATCGAAGCTCCTCTGTTACAAGCTACGGTGTCATCTTACGAAGTTCCATCCGACCCTGAACCCAAGACTTCGTGCGCGGATACCGTTGAGTGAACCAAGCAGCTGAAGTATACCCAGTCCACTGGCGCCCGTCTAAACTAGACGCGTACCTACACACGTAAGCAAGAGAGCAACGTGGTCCGATGTACAGAGAATCTCGATAACTGGTATTAAGGAGCTACCTTCCACTTTCCAGTCTGATGCATCAGTTCACGCGGAGCGCGAATGAACAATCATAAAGAAGCAGAGGTCGAGGTTAGTAAAGAGAAAGGTAAAGCTAACCAATGGCGAACAAGCTACCGGTAGGTCTCTAGTTGGATTATCAGTTTGGTGAACGATGAGTCTGACTATTTTTCTGATTTTCCTTAGTTTCTCGGTTCAGATGAAGGGATAGTATCTTAAGAAACATTACGACTGCCTCTACCTATATCATTCCAGATCTACCACTTACAGTCACATCTCACATTTAGCCAAATAAACTAACTCTATGAAGTACCTACCTACTTACCTACTACCTACGTACCACTCGGCGCTACAGCCCTGGGTGAGCCTTGGCCTCCTCTACAGTCTCCACAACCAATGCGAGCTGCCATAGGAATGGATCCACGCATGATGACCCGAGGCTGGTTGTTAGGTTTCTGAACAGAATTCGTTTTACAGTCTGAGGTTGTTAGCCTCATGCCCAACCCTTAACCTGGAGGACCAGGGTATCTCTCTTAGTTTGGACTCTACCCTTTGTCCTTTCCGGCATGGATGACCCTAGTGGCAGTTAAACCACCGCCGGCATAGCTCTCCAGGTCACAGAATCACGCAAAGCCCCATCACCACCACAAGGTTGAGACACCTTTGGAGAGAATTTTGTGAAGTAGAGTTACATTACAGGAGTTAGTAGTCCCAGAGATAGTAAAGCGTTTCCCCACCTAGCTGGGAACATCAGGTTCTTCGTTCACAAGCGCACACCACTCGTACCTGTCATGATCAAGATTAACCTAATCCACATCATTTTAATATTATCTTCCAACTACACAGAGGTCTCCAAAGAGATATACTCTCTTCACATTTTCCGATTAATATTGTATGTGCATTTTTTATACAATTACATGGGTGAAAATGTCGTTAAATAAATCAATAATCACCTCTTTCAGTGCTCCATGACCACGTAAAACGACACAACGGTGTGTTTTTGTGTTACAGGGGAACACCCGGCCGCCATGTACCACGGGCCAGCCGGCGCTCCAACCGCCCCATCTCTCAGTGCCTTGGTAGCGCTGTTGCTCATCACTGCCTCGTGGACGGCAACCATGTAGCATCTGCAAGTGTAACGAGTCAGTGTGTGAGAACGTGTGAGTGAATTAATCGTCACGTAACGTTTGTCCATCACCCACAGATTCCTCTACATATCAGTGCATAAAGAAAACTAATTGATACCGAACCGTAATTTCCCGTTGCAAGAAACATTCCGAATTTTTAAATCTCTGCCTGTTATAAATTTAACTGTCGGATGAGTACAGTAAGTTGTAATTTATGTCACGACTTTTAATACGATACAGAGATAACTGCTAAGTTTGTTAATAATGCTTATGAAGGAACTATTATTATAAGAAGGAATATTATTCGAAAAAAATCTCAAAATATTAATAATAACTCATATATGACATGGTGCTTGAAAACGGTTTCTATTTCAATGATGTTATCGACTGATTATATGAGAAATCAAGCAGCCTATATTGCCCTCTGGCTGATGCGAATATAGTGTTCCACTAGTACCTTATAAAGAAAGAAAAGAATGCATTTGCTATTGACGGCTAAGGTCATAGTTTCATTCGCACTAATACCGTCAGAAATAATGAAAAATTTATTCCATATATATCGAGTTCCTTTTAATATGGAATTAGTTAAAAGTAATGGCTATGTATTACAGTCATGACACCGACAGAGCACTGGGGTTAATTTTTAAATTTCAGAAGGCTTGAACCTAACAGGGGTTTCACTGGCCGTACCCTACAGACATCTTCATACTTATGCCATACTTATCTCTTACATTAGAGATAATATTCTCGCAGGTAAATGTGAATACGTCATAAAATTTGCATGAAGTGGAGTGAGGTTCCGATTAATATTTTATAAAATATGCGGAAATTCTTAAAAAACTCTTCAGGTTACTCGTATAACTGCTCCAAGAAGAGACCAAAATATTCGTGTAGGAAGAGTAGCCTGCTTTAAACAATCACATCTGACATGACAACAACATATATCGCCCGATTGGAAAAAAAAATAACAATTCTCCAGCTGTGTTTTTCCCCGTTTCAACAGTTTTCTCTCTTCGTCTATATTTTACTTTGAAAACGAAAAAGTGAATATTCTTAACATCAAACGCCTAATAAAGTGAACTGTTTAAAAGAGTGAGTGATTTTGATATTATCATTTATTTCAAACGTGGGGAAAATAGAAAAAAAATGGTGTACTCTGAGAAAAATGCATTTTTCTACAAGCGTCACAACAAGTTTACTTGACTCAGATGCAATATCCAGTCACTTCTTGAATGAAGACTCCTAATAAATTCTGAAGTCGTCTTATGCAAGGAAATGGTTTCATTCCTGAAAGCGTATAATCGTATTGGTGATATGAAAGATATTAAAATTGATCAGCTTGGAAACATGACGATAACGACGATCGGAGAAGTCTGCAAGGAAATTACCTATGTTTATTAAGTCTCAGTTTCCTTGCAAAATTGTATTTTTAAGTCAAACCTCTGTTCCATATTTGTGAATAAAGTATATTGCTACTGCATATGATATATTAATTTACTCGCAAATATTTATATACAGGGAGGATTTTTACTTTGTTTACCGGTTCCACTGCTCTGCTCTTGACGGCGGCTGGCCCACCGCTTGCTGCTAGGCGCATAGGAACTTTGCCAATGAATCAGCATGCATGACGGCCAATAATGTTTGTAGGCCTGATATAAAGAACTCTATTCTTTCCTATTCGGTAATAAATAGGATTAACTTTATGCATCTTATTCCCTAGGCCAGAGAAGCATAGATTCACTGTTCGACTAGAGATGATGCATGCACTGTCGTGAAAAAAGAGAGAGAGAGATTACAGTGAATTTTGTCACGTTGTTCTGTTGCATTTCCACACAACCCGAATACTGAACCGTCATTCACCTCTGCTCGAATGATGAAATTGGGAGAATTACTTTCATCAGATAAATTTGCGGATTCATGTCTCAAGTTGATTTTTTTATTTTAAGATAAATATTCATACACTATGCAACTAGCCTACTACAGTCGAGTCAACGAAAGAATCGACACAGATCCATTGCCCACCCACGTGCATAGCAGCTGTCTCCCTCAGCGTGACGTCCCCACTGTCACCAGTCTATTGGCCATGTCATGCAGTTGCAGGGGAAGGCGACCGGCGTTTTACGCGCCACTTGTAGTGATTTTTCACTGACTCCACTCTCCTTCTTCAGTGTCTAACAGTCGCCAAAAATGTCAAGAAACTCTCCACCTTTTATGGAGTCAAGGGATTTCCTCCGCCATTATACTCCGGGTAAACCCACTTCACACTTTCATTTCCTGCTTTTTAGAAATATGTAATATTGTCCCCCAAACTGTGCCGAGTTCTACCAGATGTTCTCTTTATGTTTTCCTAGTAAAATTTATACATTTGTCATCTCTTCGATGCGTGCTGCATGCCTTGCCCATCTTTTATCCCTGGCTGTTCTAAAAACAAACTCCGTGGCCTGTAGTCCGCAAACGAACTATACCGACTGAGGTTGTTCTCAAACTGATAATATTTTGCGAAGAGTAAAAATTGTGAAGCCCATTGAAAATAAACTTAAGAACCTTAAACTGATACCTCACAGAAAACTGCGACCGGGAATCCCACAATTTCTCTCTCTCTTATCCTCTGAAGCGGATGTTTTGTATGACGTCAGTTTGACAACGGAAGTGAAACTGCGGGGATAAATAAAGACCCGCATGTTCCGGGCTGTTTGTTGTATTGTAAATGATTCTATAATTCGCAGATTGCGTGATGTTTCTTTGGGTTGAGTTTATGAACGCGACATGGTAAAACACTAATTTAAAGCCTCCAGTCTAAGTCGTCGCCTAATATCCCGCCCATTATGATATGTCTATACTTACCGTATAATTCTTATACGTAATGAGGGAAGTAATCTAATACCGCATTAATATCTTCCTATAATAGTGCTTATGCAGGATACTTAAGTAATAACGAACGATATTATGTAAACTCAAGTGTTTTTCGAGCAAGGCGCTTATGAACATATATTCATGTTCTCGTTTCAACGTGTGTGTTTTTAGCTCACTCCTCTACACAGGGTCCACATAGAGGTATCAAGAAGATTGAAGGTAAGACTCCAGGAGCCCTTTAAATGGTACTGCTCCTCTTGTTGCTTGTTACGTAAAGGATCCCATCGTTTCTCTATATGATTCAGTTGTGCAGAAACTCTTTATTTCGTCAGGTTTTGTATATTTTGACACGTCTTATTTTATGCAGATATTTACTATCATTCACTCATTGAGCCGAGCCATTCTCGGGAAGCCGCAAATTGTATAGTTACTCAAGAACTTCCCAGAATTTTATTGAACCCGAAGTTTCATTAATGCATTTGCAAGAGTCCTCCAGTGGTCCCTATCCTGAGCCAGATCGAGCCAGTTCCTACCGCCCCACCTTATCTCTCTAGGATCCACTTTAATATTGTCCACTCACTGAGCTCTTGATCTTCCTAGTAGATTCTTTCTTTCTTTCCCACCAATACTCCATACGCATTCCTCTCCCCCCTCATTCGTACTACATGCACCACCCATCTCATCCTCCTTTACTTGATCACTAATTATATTTGGTGAAGAGTACAAGCTATGAAGTTCCTCATTATGTAGTTTTTTCAAATCTTCCGTAATTTTATCTCTCTTCAATCCAAATATCTCCTCCTCAGCACCCTGTTCTCAAAAACCCTCAGTCTATTACTCCCTTATTGTCAGATACCAAGTTCCACACTCATACAGAACCACGGACAGATTTTACTATACATAGCAAAATTTATTTTCAGTCACGTCTCTAAAGGCGCGTCCACATTACTCGTGCTTGTGCTCATGCTTGTGTGACTCGCTATGCTCGCGAGTAATGTGGACGATATGACAAGTCACGAGACAAGCAAATTTAAAATTTTTAATTCAAGAACTATAGCCAATAAATTAAAATACGACTACAGCCTATACACACTACGAGTAAATATACGGATCCTCACGCGCCGAAGCCTGGCGAACAACTGAAATAGTGTGGACGAAGATTTACGAGCACGAGTAATGTGGACACGCCTTAAGACAAATGTTCCAATAACTTCGAGGGCTTCCTTATAAACCCCACGAATCGTATGGGTATTTTTGCCCTCGCTTGCCATCTGGTCATTATCTGGTCTCATGAAGCATTTCTTACACAGAGATAAATTATGAATATTGCGTAGTGAGCATTTCAGTAGCACCTGGGCCCTCAGTTTGGTTCTACCTTCAAACCTTGCACAGACGTGAAGGACAGACAACGTTGTGTTAAAACCCTGGTATTGTAGAAATAAGTTCTTGAAATTAAGTAGTATAGCTTCGGAGTGTTCCATGAACGTAAATAGAATGTAAATACACCGTTATATTTTGGCTTACCATAGAATCATTTAACGATGTACAAGTTTGTATTAACAATGTAATAGATTAATAAGCAGAATTATTTATACATATAATATACAGGTTGTTTCAAGACTTTGGGGCATAACTTCAGGAGGTGATTTTCTAGGTCTTTGTGATCAAAAAAGTTCATATAAATATGTGTCCGATTTTGGACGGTTACGGAGTTATGACCGTTTTTTCATCCCCGTACACGCCCCCGTGTAAACCGCGTCTATCATCTGGCGGGTCGTTATTTTTAGCCAGCTACAGACAAAGCGTTCTTGTTATCTCGACACTTGAGAGGCACCTAAGGCGTTGTGGGTTGGTATGTCCGCCCACGGCTAGTATGGCGGCTACTGGTGTTCAGAACATTTCTCATCTCGGTGTGTCTCTTAGGTTTACGATGCCATTTACATTTTCATTTGAGGAGTATGCACATATGATTTATGTGTACGGGTTTTGTGACGGTAAATCAGTTCTTGCCATAGCTGAATATCAGCAACGGTTTCCGAATCGTAGAATACCGTGCCGGAGAGTGTTTACTGGAGTTTACCAGGCATTGCGAGATACCGGTAGACTTCCCGGCGTTCGTATTGCAACCGAGCATGGTGTTAATGAAGGCGTCAATGAAGAAGGCATTGTTCGTATGGTACACCGCAGTCCACGTGCGAGTACGCGAAGAATTGCCAGCCAGGTCTCCAGACTTAAGCCCACCGGATTATTGTGTGTGGGGATGGATGAAAGAACTGTTTTACAATGTGAAGGAGGAAACGAGAGATGATTTGCTCGGTCGCCGCTGACCACATAAGAAACAGCCAGCTGAAGCTGCTACGTGCTACCCGCGCGGTTCACAACCGAACGTTGCCTGTGTTGCGGCAGGCGTTGGCATTTTCGAAAATCAGTTTTAAGCACCAATCAATTTCNTATATATATATATATAATGTCTAACAAAGGAGATAAAGATTCAAATGTTATTTCAAAATCCTGGCTATCTTAAGCCAGATATTTGAATATTAAATCATGAAATTTATAATAATTGCACTCATAAGACACATGATAGACTGATAAGTTGTTGAGTAGTTACTGTAAGCATAACTGAGGATGGTGTGAGTTCTGTAGCCTTGAAGCGCTTAATTCAAATGCATGTTGTGACGTACAGGCAGTTCTTAGGAAACAGCCCGATACAAAACAGTTTTTCATGGAGGCGAATTCCCAGAGACCAACTCGGCACAACAAATGTTTCCGTGTAAACGAGCATTCAACAAATAATTCTATGGATACACGTAAGCAACAAACATCTCCTAGGATACCGCTAGACTACCCAAGCGGCCGTTAAGATATGAACGAAGCAGTCGTTCATGAGGATACATTCTTGATTCGTTATTCGTCATATGAGAAAATTGCTTATGCTCACTGAATGTAATATAGTCTACATAAGGCGAGCCTACATCACACTGCAATGTGAGATAGTTATCTTCTGCAGGAACTGTGTGGGAAGTATGGCCAGAGAGTAACCCTGCACGTAAGCGTTCTGCAGTAAACTGCCGCATACGTGAAGCTGGAATCAATATTGGCTGCCGCTGTCTCAGCGAAAGCAGAGTTCTATACAAGAGATGTTCCGTTTGTATAGCGGTTGTATCCACCTCATTATGATCACGAGGGAGTACGCTTGTAACAAGCAAGTTTCCAACCAACTCCCTCCAGTTACTGTTCCTTTTTAGAATCACACACGTCACTCACCGACAGTATCTTGACAGCGGGGAACATATTGACACTACTGATTAGCGTCTCTATTTTACCTGCTGATTTCACTTGCCTTGTTTTCATCATGTCCTAGAGCCAACAATAACTGTAATATACAGTGTGTCCCAAAAGTCAGTTAACCTAAAAATTTCTCTTCTATTAAAGGCAATATTCTGCTTTAGACCTGCCAATCTATCGGTAGAACGGTATCACAGCGTTGTGAGTTGTGCACTGAGGATCTCATTTCGAAGAATCCTTGTAAATTCGGTAAGTAATAAAGACATTCCTAATGTATTTTAGTGTACAGTTTACTAACCAGTTAACTAAAATTTTGACCATTCTGAATTATTAACTTTA